TTGGTAACATAATGGTGAGATATTTCTTGCAACTTTCTGACTGAGTGCTATTTGTTTCATTTTTGCAGCAGTTTCACCTAACTGTATGGATGGTTACCATGACAAAGAACACATATACTTGTGTTTCTTTTTCTTTTAAGGACCACAGAATATCTTTTCTTTGCCTTTAGCAGCTCACCGTACCATTCAAGTTCAGTCCATTTTCCTTTTTACTGTTTTCCCAATATCAAATAGGATGTTATACAATGTATTTGAAAGTAGACGAAAAAGTAGCTAGAAACACCCCACCAAATATAGTTGACCCTTCAGCAGGGTGGGGGTTAGGAGCGCCAACCATTGGTGCAGTTGAAAATCAGTGTATTACTTAAACCCTTCGCATATGCAAATTCCTGACCAAGGACTGAAAATATATAACATCAGTCAGAACTTCACAAGGAAAATGCTTCTTACTATGAGAATTATGTAGTCCATTTGTCTTCCCAACCCAACCCCCATTTTAAGTATTTTATGCTATTAACAAAAGTTCATTTTATTTTAAAACTATTGGCTATAGCCTCATCTGCTTTGAGGCTATTAAGACAAGGTGGGTCTTAAATTGTCTCTGTAACTGAAGCTGTCAGAGAGTTGGCACATGTTTGTTCCAGTGAATGAGAAGTAAGTGTTATTTTCATGAAAGTGCTAGGAAATTTTTCTATTAACTGGCTTCTAGGAAGACAATCTGCATAAGAAAGCAGGTTATTTAGTGCGCTGTTTACTTCTTTTTCATCTATTTTGGACTTGGATAAACTCTGAATTCTTAAACTGTTTTCATCTTTAGCTATTGTAGGTGGTTACATTTTGTGTCTTTTTATTGTTATTTTGTTTTGGGGTATATTCATTTAGACCATTTATTCATATCTCACTTTAGACTTCCACAATTTCAGTGAATATTTCTTTTCTGGACCACTAAACATCCTTACTTGTTAAAAACAATAATAATAATAAACCCTATAAAAAACTCATTCAGTGAGAGAGTATGCCATGTGGGTTCAGATCTTTGATCCTTTGACCTCAGAGACTGTGTCATTAAGGTCATGTCTGACTCCATGAATATTAAGAATACCTGTATACACTGGATATTCACTTTTCCTAATAACCCATTAAGAATTCTTTGATTTCTCTAAACCACTTCATCTTGCAGAAGCTCTGAATGCAAGAGAGAGCAGATCAGATGTATTCCGAGGGCTTTCAAATTACACCACCATGATCTCTCATTAAATTGTAATATGATTTTATTGAGTACCCACTGAGAATTATTACCAAAGAAACCATAGTTACCAATAGGTTTTTAAGGTAGCAAATGGTCGAAACTTAGAGTGTAAACTGTATTTAATCTACATATATATATATATATATATATATATATTTTTTTTTTTTAAATATGGAACGCTTCACAAATTTGCGTGTCATCCTTGTGCAGGGGCCATGCTAATCTTCTCTGTATCGTTCCAATTTTAGTATATGTGCTGCCGAAGCAAGCACTACTTATATTATTAATACATGTTTCTTTTTGCATAAATTTCACCAGTTTGCTATATTCTTTGAAAGCAAGACTTCCTTTTATTTTTACTGTCAAGGGAGCAACCCTGTAGTTCAAGTATTTGAAAATTTAATGGCCAACTCTCTCCTGGTTGGTCTATTTATTTTATTCACACCTTTCATAATTTCATACTCTTATCACAGTTATCCTCTGTCCTTACCCACCTATTTCCCTATCCATTGCCTCTTTCTAGTTCCCAGAATTATTTTAATTGCTCTCCTCTGAATCTTTTATTTTTTAATATATTTTTATTGATTTCAGAGAGGAAGGGAGAGGGACAGAGAGACAGAAATATCAATGATGAGAGAGAATCATTGATTGGTTGCCTCTTGCACGCCCCTTCCCCCCGCCCCCCCCCCCCCCCCCCCCCAAGGAATCAAATCCACAACACAGGCATGTGCCATTGACCAGAATCAAACCCGGGACCCTTCAGTCCGCAGGCCAACGCTCTATCCACTGAGCCAAACCAGCCAGGGCTCTCCTCTGAATCTTCTCCAGCTTTATTTTATCTTTTTGAGGTAAGTGATATGAATTCCAGTGTATTTCAGAAGTAGATTTTACTGAGGCCTTACACATGGATAGGATAGTGTTATTTTGCTTCCTACTGTTGCCTTTAGTTGCCATTTTATTGAAAGCCTTAAGTAAGTTTTGCTGATTTTTATCTTTTGATTAAATATTTTAGTGTTCACCTTCAAATTGTCTGAAGAAAAGAAAGTACTTCTATATAAAGCTGCTAGTGATTGCTCAGTATCTTCCTTAAAGCTGCTTAGAAACCATACACACAAAGGAAAACTCCTACAGTTCAAGGTTTTCCTGAAAAAGTGTTACATGTCTGCTTCTCTTAGAGATAATCACCTTACATTGGTGACAAGCAATGTATTTATTACTTAGAGGGGATCTGTGCCAAATGCTTCGTTGGGGCTTGTTTATTTGGGTTGACTACCAGTAAGATTAAGTCAGAAAATGATCAGTGATCATTTTACCTATATGACTAGGAAAATACTTTGTGCCAGACACTTTTTTAAGCACTTTGCATGTGTTGACCTGTGCGATAGATATTATTCCAATTCTCCAGATTAGAAAATGTGGGTACAGAGCTGCAAAATAACATCTCAGGGTCAACCAGCTAGTACGTGTTCATTATTGAAATCCAGCAAGTCTAACTCCCGAGCCTCCCTACTCAGTGGATTCTGTGTGTTTTCATATATTTTACTAGTGGCCTAGTACACGAATTCATGCACATTGAAAGGAAATTAATTAGAAGAAATATTTTAATATTGCTATTCGCTCTTTCTCTATAATAGAAATGTCAACCAAATTCACGATCTACAGTGACAGAAACACACACCTGCAGTTGGTGCCAGTGAGAGCTTTATATGCATTGTGCATGTGCGAATCAACTTAGCCTTTTATGTATATACTTGAGGCCCAGTGCACAAAATTCATGCACTCAGGGGGAGGGTGGACCCTCAGCCCGGCCTGCTCCCTCACGCAGTCCAGGAGCCCTCGGGGGATGTCCAACTGATGGCTTAGGAGCAGGCCTAAGCCATCAGTCATACATCCTTAGAGTTGCTGCGGAGGTGAGAGAAGCTCCTGCCACTGCCACTGCGCTTGCCAGCCGTGAACCTGGCTTCTGGCTGAGTGTAGCTCCCCCTGTGGGAGCGCACTGACCACCAGGGAGCAGCTCCAGCGCTGAGCGTCTGCCCCCTGGTGGTCAGTGCACATCATAGCAACCGGTCTTTCCACTGTCGGGCCGAAACTGGCTCTCCGACATTCCCCGAGGGGTCCCAGATTGCAAGAGGGCACAGGCCAGGCCGAGGGACCGCACCGGTGCATGATCTGGGCTGGGGAGGGATGCAGGAGGGCTCCAGGGCATGTCTGGCCCATCTCTCTCAGTCCCAATTGGCCGGACCCCAGCAGCAAGCTAACCTACTGGTCGGAGTATTTAACCCCTGGTGGTCAGTGCATGTCATAGCAACCGGTCAACTGGCTGCCCCCTGGTGGTCAGCACATCATAGCGAGTGGTTGAGCCGCCTTAGCATATCATTAGCATATTACGCTTTGATTGGTTGAATGGATGACCGGGCACTTAGCATATTGGACTTTTATTATATAGGATAGGATAAACTTGCTTAATTAGACCTGCTTTCTGATTAAGCTAAACTTTTTCCAGCCCAGTGAAGCACCCCAACTTCTTTCAGGTAATTGTCAGCAACACAGCAATAAATATCAACACAAAGCAGATTATTATTGTAGATCATGCAGGGGTAACAAAGGGTAAAATATTTAAATGCAGCAGTGTTTGACTATATTCTGCACAGTGAGAAACCTGAAGTCATTTTCAAGGTCCACCATTTCTTCTTTCAGTCGGGTCAAGTTTCTAAATGTTCTAAGTCTCCATTTTATGGCTAATGAAAAGAGAATAGGATTCCCCCAAGTCTCCTATCTACCTATTCCAAGACTTCTGTGAGGATCAAATGAGATGAGGCATGCGAAAATGCTTCACAGACATTTGGTTAAATTGTGAAATGTTTGCACCTGGTTATAAAGCAAGTTATGTTCCTGGGCTGAAGAAACTGCAGAGAGGCTAGTCCTCACTAGGGAGAGGAAGCCGGGTGTTGCTACCTGACGTCATTACCCGGCACCCACAGCGACCGTTTCTGGGCTGGACTGGCCTGTGGGCCCCATTTTGTGCCATGGGGTCTTGGCAGTGTTGGCTACGATTTGGTGGGGTGTCATTCCTAAGTGATGGCAGGGCCTGTGTCTCACTTGGGGGAAGCTGAGTGTTGGTTTGTCGGTTCCAGGTCCGTGGTGCTGGCCAGTGTGCATCATGGCAGCTCCTGCATTGAGCGTCTGCTCCCTGGTGGTCAGTGTGCATCATACCAACCGGTCGGACACTCAGACACTTAGCATATTAACCTTTTATAAATATAGATTGCTGACTTTTTTTAAAAAAAGCAGTAACTTAGCCCGTTCTATTTGCTAATATCCTTAAGTTTTCTTATTTTCTTTCCCTCCAGTTCCTACAAAGGGTGTAAGAAAAATTTTACATGATGTGCGATATTGGTAAAATGCCAGTAACTCGTTTCTAATCATCATTTCTCTAAAACTGGATAAAGAAATAAGATTTGTGAACAAAAACTTAAAACAGTACCCTTACCAATCAACGCCCTGGTGGTCAGAGAGTTCCCAATTCCGCAACGAAGTATATTCAAATCAGCTGTTTGAATTTCAGAAACCTTAAAAAAGATTGGTCCTCAGAGCACATAGTGTAACCACTACCAACCACACTTTGAAAAATTCTCCATTTTAAGCTTTACCATCGTAGCCTTTATCTCCAATGTCCCTGTGTTAGTGAGTAGTCAGTGATGCTAGTGCATGCCCAAGGATTCCTGTCTAAAAACCTGTTCTGTTTTTGCAGTGGATAGCCTGCTGAAATACACTGGCTATGGGAATGCTGCAGGACTGTTGGCTGCCAGGGGCCTCTTGACTGGAGGAAGAGGAGATAATTGGTACTCAGAGGACGAGGACACAGACACTGAAGAATACAAAAATGCAAAACCAAAGTATAGTATCAAGTTTCTTTTCACCTAATTCTGTGCCTTTGAGTGGGTTATTTGCCTTTTACTTCCTTTGTCTCTCATTTTCCAAGTGTTTTTTTTTTTCTTTTGTGGGTTTGGAAACTTTCCATGTAATAGTGTTTTCAGAGGCCATTCCATTGCTCATGCCTTAGAGCCGTGGTCGCCACCCTTTTGGACCTCACTGACCACCAGTGGTCCACAGACCACCGGTTGGTGACCGCTGCCTTAGAGAGTGTCTTCAAGTGATTGAGGAAGGATAATAATTGCAAGGAATGTTCTGCTGCATGATTATTTTCAACATGCTCATTACCCTGTCCCAAGAAGTAAGAGGGTGCTTTTACATATCTACAGTCATATATTTTAAAAGTATTGTTGCTTCCTTTTTGCTTCTTTTCCATATGTTAAGATTTTAGAAGGTGTAACCAAGACTAAGTATTTAGGTTGGTTATTTGATACTTCATTCTTTCTCAGAAAGCTAAATGTAGGTTCCATACATTCTGATCTTCCCTCTTGCATAAAAGCCCTTATGAGTCAATAAAGCAACAAGGCACATTACTAGCAAAAGTAAAGAACTTTGGCTCCATAGTAAATTTTACTCAAACATTGAGGGAATTACCTCTGAGCAGATGCATTAGTGCTCTGAACAGGCAAACAGAGACTCCTCAAGTCCTCCCTGAGTCAGTGCTTATAAATCAGAGACTAATTCTTCTGTCCCAAACAAACCACCTCTACTTCCTTCCCTTCCCATTCTTTTCATCTTCCTCTCAACCCCCATCCCAGGTAGGTTTCTTAGTTTCCACTCACTAAGAAACTAAGGTTTCTAGGAGTTGTTTGAGCTCAGTTTCCTGGTTTTTATTACTGAATGTTAAAAGGGTAACTGCCTTTTGGCATCATTGATGTTGACATGCTATGTTTTCTACCGATAGTCTTCTAGAGTGTGATGTGGGTCATGTTGTATTTGGTCAAAGATAGAAAATCATTATCTGCAAAATCAGCACCCACCCCCACTTTTTCAGTACAGATTATATCCTGTTGACATGAAAGTAATGGGTTGTGAGAAGGTAAAAGATCATGCCCTAATTAGGAATTTTATTGCCCATATTCTCAGCAAATTGGTCTGAGCAGGTAGCATTACTTTTAGCACCCCCAGTGCTGTCAGCCTCAGCAGGATCTTATAGAGTATATCCCCGCCCCCACCAAAAAAAGGCTTTGTGGGGAAATGCTAGCAGTAAGTTCTTAAGACTGCCACCATTTAGATGTTATAAATTGGGTATCTCTATCAAGTATTTGAAGAAAAGATAGAGAAATCAATACTTTAATCTTTCCCTAATTATGTATAATTTAATTATGAGTCTTGCTCACTCTTGTTTTTTCCATTCCATAAATTGTATTTCCATAACAGTTTAATGTTTTATACCTCTCCATTTGAAACATTAAAACTTACCAATGGAGAAGTCTCATATTAAAGGAAGATAGAAATTACATTAGACATTCTTTGTGCCCCAGAGATGTGGACACAATCAACTTAGACAACTCTTAAGTACTTGTGGGTGGTCAGTATTGTTGCAGCTCAATGTGTATTGTTGCTTTTGTTTGGTAGATGATTTCTGTAGTGGTAATGGCCATTTATCTAGACAGCACCAGAATGCTACTGTAACAAGAAAGAGCTCAGAGAAAATACAAGAACACTGGGTATCTTCCAATGGTTTGGGAAATAGACATGCTAGATTTCAGAAGAGCACTGTTTGTTTAAATCAAAGACCATGAGGTTTGATATTGTTATTGTCTTAGCTTTTGGTCATAGAAGATTCTGTACTAGTACTTGGGCCTTACCTCCCTAATCTCTAGCCTTTGAACCTGGCCTATGTTGTTAATAGGAATGGTATGTTATGGTCAGAATAGCCACCACTGTGAAATTTTGTGTTTACTCATTACAAGTATAAATAGGGGTTTCCCATCCGTTTTTGTTTTTTTTCTTATATCTTCCCTACTTTTAGGTGAAACAGGGTAGTGGAATGTTTAATTTGTTTAAATAGTTACCTAGATGGTCCTTGTGAAAGTAGTGGTAAATAAAGTACTTTCTAAGCGAGACAGTCCTTTGTGCTGTAGGCAGTGATCCACAGAGCCTGAAGAACTTTGTCCCTAAAAATTGTTACGAAAACTTGTATCAATCTAGTGGAACTTCTAAAATCTGAAAGGATTGCTTACTCCCCTACCCTCTGATTATCCTTCACTAGTCAGTGTTCCCAGGATCAGAGTCTAGGTTTCTTAGGATACATTTATTCACAAGAGTTGTTAGTATTGGCAAAAGCAGAGAAATTACTCCTCATCCAGTTGGCCCTTGTCCCATTGTAAAAAAAAAAATGTAAGTGGGTTCTGATTAATGCACTAAGGTAACCTATAATCCTTTAGTGGAATCTGAAACCAAGAATTGTATGAAGCTTACATTCAGGCTGTGGGAGACAGTTAATATCACAACAGTCCTTTTTGTGTCAAAATAAATGTATGTAATGGACTGGAAATGGCTTTCTGTAATTAGCACACTTAGACAGGATATACTCATTGAATCAAGTTACATGTCACACAGGTTTTTGGTGTATGTTTAGCCATGTTTGTTAAAAGATGTCATATAAACTTTGGTATTGTATCAAAGAGAAACCAAATCTCTAAATTCGAATTTTATACCTGTTTCTTTTATGCCTCTGAGCATGGAGGCTCCTAAACTGTTTATGTAATATAACTGACTGATATGGTGTATACATAATTGCAAACATCATTTGAAAGATGTGTATCTAATGACATTTGGCTCATTGTAGACCAGTGACTTTCAGGGTGGGTGTCTAGGAGCCTGGGGGCCCAAAGAGGTACCTTTAAAGAACTTCTGTACAGAGGGGCAGAAGGAGGGGAAGACCAGAGTGGGCAGAACTTTAAGATACCTCCTTACACCCTTAATACCCCCACTAGTTCAGATCACATTCAGAAGCTTAAAATCATTGTACTAAACTGCTTGGGTATTGCCTTCTTGACTATATTTCTCTCAGCAGTAGCTCTGTTAGCATCTGTATTGACAGCAGTCACCAACTGGTGGTCCGCGGACCATTGGTGGTCCGTAAGGTCCAAAAGGTTGGTGACCGCTGCTCTAGAAGGTCAGAATTGAGAATAAAATCATTGCTGCTTCTGCATTACACTGGGTTCTGTAAGTTTACCAGCCTTTGTGATATTTGCAACCCCACTAGTTTTGTACTTTCATAACTGAATTCTCTATTTTTTATTTTATTTTTGTGTTATAATTTGGGGAAATGGCCAGCAAGAGGTCAGTTGCATTAGATAACTACAGTGTTGTTCCACATTTCATTTCCTATAGATTTACAACCATAGTTTCTATATCCTTTATAATAAAGGAATCAGTCTTAATCCAAAACACTCAACATAGGAAACACTTAGAAAGCACTATAATTTAAAAAGACATTTTGGAGTTCTTTTTAATTGCCTAGATGCAATATAGTATCTATTTATATATATACATATATGTATTCAGTATGTTTATTTGTATGGTTGCTACACGATAGATACTTAGTAAATATTTGGTAAACAGTGAAAGTGTGACAACACACACCCTAGTTCTTTGCACTGCTAATGGACTGCAAAAACTTGGATTAAGATGTTTCATAATTTACCATCTTGTTTATTGTAGAATCACTGTTCTACTTTTATGGTAATTCCCAAACTACTTGAGACATTTTCAGCCATTAACTGATCTCTCTATCTGAAATTATCTATAGGAAATTGCTCAAAATACGTAATTGTTGCATGGCTTCTTTAGTTAATGAAGATTGCACAGGCCACTCTTGGGTGATGATGTAACTGAATAGAGTAAGCTTACTACATCATCCAAGGCCTTCTGGCTTATTTCTTAGCAAGTGGCTCACTTATGCTAATAATAATAGCTAGTATTTATTGAGTGTCTAATATGTGCAGGTACTGTTCTAAGAACTTTCCGATATCATCTCATTTAACCTTCATATTAACCCTTCGGGATAGAGTTCTCCCCAGTTTACAGAAGAGGACACTAAAGCTCAGTGATGTCAAGTACTTGTGTAGAGCACATAGTTCATGAGTGATCAGGTGGCCTGACTCCAGAGCTTATGGGGTTTTTTGGGGGGCAGGGCAAGGGAGGGTTTGAGGTAGGCAAAGCAAGTTTTATTGTGCTCTTCACTGTGCCTTCTTATTTGAGGGGTAAAATATACATGATATAAAATTCACCATTTTAGGAACCATAATAGGTGAAATCATATACAATATTTAGCCTTTTTTGACTGGCTAATTTCACTTAGAATAATGTCTTTAAGATTCATCTATATTGTAGCATGTGTCAAAATTTCCATCCTTCTTAAGGCTGAATGACATTCCATTGTATGTACCACATTTTATTTAACCATTCTTCTGTCAGTGAAGACTTGAATTGTGTCCACCTTTTGGCTATTGTGAATAATGCTGCTGTGAAATGGGTGTACACATATCTGTTAAAGTCCCAGCTTTCACTTTATATATATCCTAGAGGCCCAGCACACGATTAAAATCGCGCGAGGAGGTGCCCCGCCTCCTACTGTGCGAGGAGGCACCCTGCAGTGGGCCGGGACCTGCACCTGACTCGTGCAGCACTGGCCAACACGGGAGTCAGGCCGGAGGGTGCCGCGGGAGGCTGGGCCAGCGCCTGGGGGGCCAGGACCCACGCCTCACTCGCAGCATCACCCAGCCCCCCTGCCTGTGTTCACTCCGGTGCCGCCCTGTCTCTGTCTCCATCTCTGCTCTGGGCCTCACCTACGGTCGCAACCTCCTCCTGTCCAGTCGTGACCCGTTACAGCGTCCCGGCCTAATTTGCATATTACCTCTTTATATATCTATAATAATAAAAGTGTAATATGCTAATCAGACAGCCAAATGACCTTCCGGACATCTTTCTGGACAAAATCGTGGTGGTGGGG